GAATACATATTTTGGATGACTTCTGACTATTTTTTATTTTCAATCCAGTTATTAAGTTGCAAAGCATATAATAATATAAATTCATACACACGTAATAATATTATTATGTCATAAATCATCATGATAGTATTTAGCTGATCAAGTAAATGAGCTTGTTAAAATAAGCTTAATTAAAATTAATTATTGATCAGATGAACATGATTGAACATGAACAATAAGTTTTTTTTTTGCTGTCCTAGTCAAGACTAATTAAGAGATTCAGTAGACTTTTGTCGAACTGCTGAGCATTAGTAGTCTGAGTTCAATGGCATGATTCTTTGGCTGGTGAAGTAGAGGAGGTTAATGTTGAAGGTATTGATGGTTCTCTATTGTGGTTGTGTATTATGAAAAATCAAATGTGAAATAAAATTGAAGATAAATGACTGATTGATATTTTAATTGCTTATATTGAAAAATAAATAATTGATTATAATAATAATAAAGTAATAATTTAATTTTCAGAACATGAAGAACAAATGTTTTAAATTATTTGTTCTTTTATAATCTTATATTTAATATTTTTTTAACTAATAAATAAAAAAAAACTTCTCAAAACTATTATATATATAATAACGACAAATAAAGTTGGTTGAGAATTTTTTGCAGAATTTGTCAAATACAATGGAGAACATATATTTTTTGTGAATAGTTATGTGGGGATTAATTCGAACATCCAATTAAAATGTTATTGATATATCGTTAAAAATTATCTTGATCGGGCACAAATTTCGACGCAAAATCAAGTTGGAAACTTCCAAAATTAAAATTGGGGCCATCCAAACTCCGATTTCAACAAACTTACAGTCGAACTAAGCAACTCAGAAATATGAACCCAACGACACCAAATTCAACTAAATCCGAGCCCAAATGAGTCCAAATTAAGGACCCGAAGTGCTTTTGGAAGCTGCATACCACAGTTTGAGTTACCAAATGATTTCCAAACATGACGAGCTTATATTTTAATCGAGCGGCTCGACTAGACGAATCCAACGAGCCCAAGATCACCAAATTCCAAAGTCATTAAGACCATCAAATGCCTGATAAACTGTCCACGATCGAAGATTCAATATCGGCCGTTCATTTGAACCACTCCATATTTACCCATGATCTCTCATCTATTTACGGGCCATGCCACTCCAGAAAATCTATAAATAGACCTCTCATTTATCTTGAAAGAGGATCCAAGAAAGAAGAGATGAAGAGAAGAGAAGGAAGAAGCTCCTCCTCGACCACCGCCGGACTTTCGTCGGACCACCACCTGAGGCCCTCGCATTCGTCGAACCACCACCTGAGGCCCTCACCTTTGCCGGATCACCGCCGGAGGTCCACACCTTCGTCGGACCACCACTTGAGACCCTTACCTTCGTCGGACTACCATCGGAGGCCCTCACCTTCGCTGGACGACCACCTAAGGTCCTCACCTTCTCTAGACCACCGCCGGAGGCCCTCCCCTTCGCCGGACCACCGCCTGAGGCCCTCGCCTTTGCCGGACCACCACCTGAAACCCTCCCTCTAGCTCCACCCTCACCTTCTCCAGACCACCACCTGAGGCCCTCACCTTCGTCGGACCACCGCCAAAGGCCATCACCTTCGTCGAACTACCGCCGGAGGCCCTCACCTTCGCCTGACCACCACCTGAGGCCCTTACCTTTGCTAGACCACCATCGGAGGCCCTCCCCTTATCTCTACCACCGCCTGAGGCCCTCTCCTTCGTCGGACCACCACCTGAGGCCCTCACCTTCAGCGGACCACCACTAAAGGCCCTCACCTTTGCCATACCATCGCGGGACCTTTGCCCGACCACCACAAGAGGCCCTCACCTTCAGGGGACCATCACTTGAGGCTCTCGCCTCTGCCGGACCACCGCCTAACATCGTTGCTCCGCTAGACCACCACTGGATGCGCTCACCTCTGCCGGACCACCGCCTGACGTCGTTTCTCCACCGGACCACCACTTGAGGCCCTGAGCTCCACCAGACCTTCGCCTGATGTCGTTGCTCCGCCATACCACCACATAAGGTACATAATTCTGTTGTACAACCACCTGAGACTCCAACTTCTATTAGGTCACCACCTGATGCCCAGAGTTCCACCAGATTACCTCCCTACTACAACACTCTTTCAGACCCCGGTCTCCTACCGACTACTGTCCTTTCGACCTCCGTCGCCTATTATGGTCGCTCCAACCTCCTTCACTAGACAATGATTTTTCTAACCCAAATCTCCTGCCAACTACGGTCTTTCGGACCTCTATCTCATACTAACTACAGTCTTTTGGACCTCTATCTCCCGTCGACTACGATCCTTCCGACTTCTATCACTAGAAAAAGATCTTGACCTCTATCTTATCAAATATGGTCGTGCCGATCAAACAAACACATCTATATTGATTATTGTAACTCCCACCATATAATGCGCTCTATATGATGTACATTTGTGACATCAAGTTAGAGCATTCTCATAAGGAAGGGCCTCATTTATAATCGATTTCAAATACTAGTAGATTCATTCAAACTGTGCCATGCCCCATTATTTTTCCCCCTTTTCAGGGGTTTCCACATAAAAATTCTAATGTCTCTTATGAACACTAAACTCTCTTTCTTATATGCTTGTGTGTTGGATCTTTGTATAATACTAAGATGTTACGTTATATATCTATCTACCGCCGTGAATATTCCAGGATGCAACAGTTTGGCGTCGTCTGTGCGAACGTGGTTCTCGACTGTGGGGCAATTTTTGCTCCAACTTTAAAAGGTCATTGATGTCAACTTCCTGGCTTCAGCTATTACTGCATCAATTTCATAGAAATTAGATCCAGACTGGGGGGTAACTTTGACTCCAACTGTGGTAAAGAAGATCCCTCTAATGCTTTCAATATCAAGATGATCGTTTAGAAAAATCCCAATAAATGCAATGATGCTTCCAATCAATTAGAATCTTTATACAGTCCCTTATGGGACTTCTACCCCTTGGGTAAGATCTTAATCTCGACCTCAAAAAGATAGTAATGATATAAAGATATATTATTATTCACCTTTAATTCGGGATACACGCGGCATTCGCCCCCTCCCTATCAAGGCAATATCAATCCCAGGGAGATTCTCTCAACATCTTCCACACAGGTTAATGTCATCGAGCAAGGCTCTAACATATAACCTCAGATAGGTCTTACATCTTTGGTGGATTCTCTCGACCTCTTTCATACAAGTTAACATCATCGAGTAAGGCTCTGACATATAACCTCGGATAGGTCTTACATCCTTGATGGATTATCTTGACCTCTTCCACACAGGTTAACGTCATCGAGCAAAGTCTCTAACATACAATATCGAATAGGTCTTACATCCTTGGTGGATTCTCTTGACCTCTTCCACATAGGTTAATGTCATTGAGCAAAGACTCTGACATATAATCTCAGATAGGTATTACATCCTTGGTGGATTCTCTCGACCTCTTCCATATAGGTTAATATCATCGGGCAAAGGCTCTGACATACAACCTCGGATAGGTCTTACATCCTTGATTATTTCTCTCGACCTCTTCCACATAGGTTAACATCATCAAGCAAGGTTCTCACATACAACCTCGGATAGAATGCTGTCGATAGACTTTTGTTAGACTTCTCTATATGACATCGAGCAAAGGCTCTGACATACAACCTCGGATAGGTCTTACATCCTTGGTGGATTCTCTATACCTCTTCCACATAGGTTTACGTCATCGAGCATGGTTCTGACATATAACATCGCATAGAATGCCGTCAATGGACTTTCATCGGACTTCTCCATAAAGTTAAACTTTTATCCGATGCAGGACTTCTGCCCATCTCCGAACTTTCGTTGGGCTTCTACTCGATGCTGAATTTCCTCCCATCGGTAAACTTCTATCCGCAGGACTTTCATCGAAATTCTACCTGATGCTTAGCTCCCTCCCGTCGTCAGACTTTCGTTGGGCTTCTACCCGACGCTGAGCTTCTTCCCATCGTTGTACTTCTACTCGACATCGTACTTCTATCCATCGTAGGACTTCTATCCACCGTAGGACTTCTACCCGATATAGGACTTCAATCTGCCGTCGGACTACTACCCTTCGTCAGATTTCTACCCATCGATGGACATTCATCAGTCTTCTACCCGACTTAGTACTTTTACCCAACATCGGACTTCTGCCTGCTGTCGGACTACTACCTGTCATCGGACTTCTAACCTCGATAGACTTTCGTTGATCTTCTACCCGACGATGAGGTTCTTCCTATTGATGGACTTTCAACAGTCTTCTACCCGACACTGTACTTCTACACGACGTTGAACTTATGCCTGTTATCGGACTACTACTTGTGGTCGAACTTCTGCCCGTCGATGGACTTTCATCGGTCTTCTACCATATGCTATACTTCTAACCGACGTCAGACCTCTTCCTGCCGTCAGACTACTACTCGTCGTCAGACTTCTACCCGTCGATGCACTTTCATTGGTATTCTACCTGACGTAGTACTTCTACCCGACGTAGTACTTCTACCTGATGTTGAACTTCTGCTTATCGATTCTCGAGCTTCTTTCTGACGTTGAATTTTTACCCATTGACATACTTCTCCCCAACGTTAGAATTCTACCAAACGTTGAATTTATGCACATCATCGGACTTCAACCTGCCATCGGACTACTACTTGCCATCGAACTAGTACCCATCACCAGACTTCTTCCAGCATATGAAATTTCATTGGTCTTCTACCCAATGTTGTAATTCTACCCAATGTCAACTCCTTATCGATAGACATTCATCAGGCTTCTACCTGACATTGAATTTTTACTCGTTGTCGTACTTCTCCCCGATTTTAGAATTCTATCGGACATTGAATTTATACACATCGTCATACTTCTACTGCCCATCAATAGTCTTTCAACATCCCTCCTTACAATGGTCTCTCCGACCTCAATCGTCAACCAACTAAAATCAGAACTTCATAGGATCTCTCGAAGAAAGGAGGGAGAAAGGGAAGATCTCTGGACCTTCTTGTACAAAGGGGGCCTTGGGCCTGTACGACGGATACCACCCATACAGGGCCAAGGGAAGGTCTCAATTGAAAGAATGGAGGAAGAAGGGGGATATCTGGACCTTCTTGCACAAAGAGGAGCCTTGGACCTGCACGAGTGATACCACCCGTACAAGGCCAAGGGAAAGCCTCAATTGAAAGAATGGATGGAGAAGAGAAGGTGTAAGAATTTCTTAACCCTAAGGGGGGTATTTAAAGGCAAGAGGGGGAGGTTGGAGGAGTTGGGGGAGCTATGAAAATTTTTTTTTTTGCAGATTTTACTGTAGCAACCGGGATGCGGTTATGAGGAAAAAAAAGCATTCAGCAAATTTTACTGTAGCACGAAACTGTAGCAGAAGCACTGCATCAATTGAAAATTATTGTAGCAACTGGCACTGTAGCAAATGGAATTATTGTAGCAGAGTTACTGTAGCACATATTTTGGGCAAAATTTAATGACGGACAGTCCAAATTGAATGTTTTTGGGGTCCCTAAAAGATTTTTCCGTGTTCTGAATCCAATTTTGACGCTTTCGAAGCTCAACGGGACCTCTATGATCAAGTTAATATTTTTTGGAACACAATTTTTTAAGATTCGGCCAATGTCAAATGTTGACACATATATTTTTGGACTTTTGGAGCTTTAACTTCCAAAAATACGGGGGCAACTGATATATCGTCAAAAAATTATCTTGATCGGGCACACATTTCGATACAAAATAAAGTTGGAAACTTCCAAAATTAAAATTGGGACCATCCAAACTTATAGTTGAACTGAGTGTCTCGGAAATACAAACCCAACGACACCAAATTCGACTCAATCCGAGCCCAAATGAGTCCAAATTATGGACCTGAAGTGCTGTTAGAAGCTTCATACCACAGTTTGAGTTACCAAACGGTTTTCAAACATGAAGAGCTTATATTTGAATTAAGAGGCAAGATGAGACAAATCTATCGTGCCTAAGATCGTTGAATTCTAAAGTCATTAAGACCTTCAAACGCCTAATAATCGGTCCATGATTGAAGGATTCAATATCATCCGTTCATTCAAACCACTCCATATTTGCCCCTGATCTCTCATCTATTTACGGACCATGCTACTCCAGAAAATCTATAAATAGACCTCTCATTTCTTTTGAAAGAGGATCCAAGCAAGAAGAGGGGAAGAGAAGAGAAGGAAGAGAAGGAAGAAGCTCCTCCTTGACCACCGCCGGACTTTTGCCGGACCACCGCCAGAACATCGCCGGACCACCACCAGATGCCCTCGCCTTCGTCGGACCACCACCTGAGGCCCTCACCTTTGCTAGATCACTGCCAGAGTCTCTCACCTTTAACGGACCACCACCTGAGGTTCTCACTTTAGCCGGACCACCGCAGAAGGCCCTCACCTTCGCCGAACTACTGCCGGAGGCCCTCACCTTTGCCAGACCACCACCTGAGGTCCTCACCTTTGATAGACCACTACTGGAGGCCCTCCCCTTCATCGGACCACCACCTGAGGCCCTCTCCTTCTTCGTACCACCACCTAAGGCCCTCACCTTTGCCGGATCACCACCGGAGGCCCTAACCTTAGCCGGACCACCGTAGGAGGCCCTCACCTTTCGCCGGACTACCGTAGGAGGCCCTAACCTTCGTCGGACTACCTCTGGAGGCCCTCACCTTTGCTAGACCACCGCCGGAGGCCCTCCCCTTCACCGGACCACCACCTGAGGCCCTCTCCTTCGCCGGACCACCACCTAAGGCCCTCACCTTTACCGGACCACCACTTGAGGCCCTCACCTTTGTTGAACCACCACCGGAGGCCCTCACCTTTGCCGGGCGATAACCTTTGCTGGACCACAACCTGAGGTCCTCACCTTCGCTAGACCACCGCCGGAGGCCCTCCCCTTCGTCGAACCACCGAATGAGGCCCTCGCCTTCGTCAGACCACCACCGGAGGCCCTCACCTTCATCAGATCACTACTGGAGGCCATCACCTATGCCAGACCACCACTTGAGGCCCTCACATTTGTCGGACCACCACCGGAGGCCCTCACCTTCACCGGGCTACCATCGAAGGCCCTTACCTTTACTGGACCAGCACCTGAGGCCCTCACCTTCGCTAGACCACCGTCGCAGGCCCTCCCATTCGCCGGACCACCGTCTGAAGCCCTCACCTTCTTCGGACCACCACCTGAGGCCCTCCCCTTCGCTGGACCACCGCCAGAGGCCCTCACCTTTTCCAGACCACCGTCGGGCCTTCACCGAACCACCACATGGGGCCCTCGACTTTGGCGGACCATTACTTGAGGCCCTCACCTCCGCCAGACCAACGCCTGACATCGTTGCTCCGCCGAACCACCATTGGAGGCCCTCACCTCCGCCGAACCACCGATTGACGTCATTGCTCTGGTGGACCACCACTTGAGGCCCTGAGCTCCGCCGGACCACCACATGACGTCGTTACTCCGCCAGACCACCACCTATGGCCCGGACGTTTGCCAGACCACCACCTGAGACTCCAACTTCTATAGGCCACCACCTGATGCCAGAGTTCCACCAGATTACTGCCCTACTACAACAGCCTTTCAAACCCCGATCTCCTGCCGACTATGATCCTTCCGACCTCCATCACTTACTATGGACGCTCTGACCTTCTTCACCAGACAACAATTTTTCTGACCCCAATCTCCTGCCAATTACGGTCTTTCAGACCTCTGTCTCATACTAACTATGGTCTTTTGGACCTCTATTTCCTACCGACTACGGTCCTTTCGACCTCTATCACCAAACAACGGTCTTATCCTCTATCTTATCGACTATGGTCGTGCTGATCAAACAAACACATCTATGTTGATTATTGTAACTCCCACCATGTAATGTGCTCTATATGATGTACATTTGTGACATCAAGTTAAGGCCTTCTCATAAGGAAGGGCCTCATTTGTAATCGACTGCAAATACTAGTGGATTCATTCAAACTGAGCCAGGCCCTGTGGTTTTTCCCCCTTTTAGGGGTTTTCAAGTAAAAACTCTAGTGTCTCTTATGAACGCTACACTCTCTTTCTTATCTGCTTGTATGTTGGATCTTTGTACAATGCTAAGACGTTAAGTTATATATTTCTCTACTGCCATGAATATTCCAGGACACAACAGTTATATATAAGTAATTAATCACAACTTTTTTGATTGATTGATATCATTAATGTTTTTAAAATAAAACCATACTAGAGAAAGTACATCTTAGGGTCTAAGTGGGGAACTCTGTTATATATAGCTTTGCTTTATTTTTAAAATTGCTATCATTCTTTTGTTTGGTTATTATTATCATCTTAATCTTTTTCAAAAAAATTAAGTGGGAATATGTTTTTCCAATGAGATCTATTATTATGTGTTGGCTTAAAAAATTTATTTTCTAATTTTATCAAAAAAATATATTTATAATTCTTAGACAGCTTTTAAAAAAACAAAATTTCTACACAGCGAGTTGAGCTTCATTTGGGACAACTTTCTTACTATTTTCTAAAATTACTTTTGTGTATAACAATTTTTTAAGTTTTAGGTTTCATTTGGGATGACTTTCTTACTGCTTCTTAAAGCAGCTTTTTAGTACAAAAATTTTAATTTTTGTACTAAAATGTTGTTTTAAGAAGCAGTAAGAAATTAAGCCATCTCAAACAAAGCCTTAAGAAAATAAAGAACAAGCATATTTGTAATTTCATGCATTATGATGTATATTATTCTAAAAATAATGAAGACAAATGAAGTTAGCTGAGGAATTCTTACAAAATTTGTCACATACAATGAGTAATACATAGAATTGAGAATAGTTCTGGGAAATTAATCACAACTTTTTTTATTGATAAACTTAATGTTTTTTTAATGATTAAATCAAATCACTCTTTGTCAAGTTAAATTTTCAGTAAAATTAATGTTTCTACTACATCTTCAACTCCCTACCAATTAGAAAAAAACAATATAATAATTAAAATCTATAAATAACACACCTTTCATTTCTTATTAATCCACACAATGGCCCGAGCAAAATCAAACTTCCTTATATCTCTCCTCCTTCTCATTGGCACCGGCGAGCTCGGTGCTGGGCAGAACTGCGGCTGTGCTGACATGGTAAGCCAACAGTTCTTTGATGGGTTAACGAGTCAAGTAGATGCGAGCTGTGAAGCCAATGGCTTTTACACGAGAGAGGCATTCTTAAATGCTTGGCAAAGCTACTCTAGTTTTGGAGATGGCCCCACAATCGATGACACCAAACGAGAGATCGCTGCCTTTTTTGCTCATGTTTCCCATGAGACCATAAGTATGAATACAATTTTAATAAAGATGATCTTCAAAATTTTCTACTTTTATAAGAATGAGATTATTTTTATTACATGTGCTCCCAATTTTGCATGTCACATTTTTTAAGTGTAATTAAATTATTAGACAATTTACCTTTAACTATTGGATGAATAAAATTAAGCAGCTAGATTATATATGATTCATGTCACATGTAATATCAAGGTTTTTAACTTAATTATAAGATCTTATAATAAGCCAGCAAAATGTAAAAATTTAGTATCATAATTTCATGATAAAAAAATTGATTGGAATTTTCTTATAATAGTTGGAAATCAATTAAAACTTTCTTTGCACTTATCTTATAGAAAATTTGGAAAATTTGCGACACATCAAGACTAAAACTTTAGTTAGAATTAATATTATGAATATTTTTTTCCTGCAAAACTTCTTGTTTAAGCTTTTCTTGCTAGCTTAAGAGCAATTATATGGACTAAATGCTAATAATTATTTTGATACTAAGCTACTTTTTCTAAATATTGTCTTTTAACCACATTATTTATACAAAAATAATGAAAATTTTAATATGAACAGATATGTGCTACAAAGAGCAGGGAGATAAATCCAATGCATATTGTGACTACAATTCTCAGGATTACCCATGCAGCCCAGGGAAGATGTACTACGGGCGTGGTCCCCTCCAAATCTCATGGAATTATAATTATGGTCCCGCTGGCCAGGAAATTGGCTTTGATGGCATCAATTGGCCTGAAGGTGTTAGCACCGACCCCACCATTTCCTTTAAAACCGCACTTTGGTTTTGGATGAGAAATGTGCATGGCATCATTGGTCAAGGTTTTGGAGCCACCATTCAAGCTATCAATGGTGTCCTTGAGTGTGGAGGTCAGAACCAAGGAGCAGTCAGTCATCGTGTTGATCTCTATCAAAATTATTGTGGTCAGTTTAATGTGTCCCCAGGCGATAACCTCTATTGCTAGGAAGATTATTTGATAGTGATATGTATGGACACTTGTAATGTTGTGATGGACTTAGTTAAATTTTGTGATCATGTGAAATCATGAGTTTATCATGTCATAATTTTATGGAGTGCAATAATTAAAATCCTACTACTATTGTTTCTTTGTTTTTTTTTTTCCTTCCCTTTGTTGTTCCTTTCTTCTTCTCAAACACAATCGACAGGGCTTGAAGCATTTGGTGATATCGTTGAACCTTCCATTAGGAGGTCACTGACCTTTCCTCTATTACAACTAACACAATCAAGTTAATGCATATTATTATTACAGGAATCTCTCCTGGAAACCCCAAAATATGGATTCTAAAAAATAAGCAATAATATAGGTTCCCAAGCACTCTGATGGATATATACTCACCTTGACATCATTAGTTTGAAAGGTATGACCTTGTAACACTAAACCCTTATAGTTATTCTAAATAATGTAAATTTTATTAATCTTTAGGAGTCATTTTAATTTGGTTATAACAAAAAAAATCATTTATGAATGAGAAAATTGAATGCAAGGATACTATATCCATCATAAGCTATGGTATAGGAAATGATAACTAATATTTGGGGTATGCTTTATTCATATATGTATAATTAATGAATATGTGAATTTGGGCATTAGTTTTTTTTTTAATCATGATGATGACGACTAACCAAGAAAGATATTTATCTTCTCAAATGAAGATCACTTCAATTAGTTTCTTGATTTCAGTCTTGTCATTCAATTTCTTAGTGTATATATATCAAGTTAATCAAGGAATTTCATTATAAATCTTGACGAAGAAGTCTTAAACTCCAAAAATAACTTAACCAAACCATTTAATTTGTCCTCATCTAATAAAGAATTTATGAAGGTTGGACGAAGCTTTCTTTGCTATCAAAGTTGAATTCTTTGATTTCATCGATTGTTGATTTAATTTTCTCTTCAAGTTTAGGCTATGCATATCAAACTTGAGAGTCATCTAAATCATCCAAAATTTCTAAATAAATCTTAGCAAGTGATTTAACATCCTTTGTGGTTATTAAAAATAAGAAGCAAGCAATATTCATCATCAATCACTAGACATATATTACCAAAGCTAACATTAGTTTTCAATTTTGTTGTAATATTTTTGTATTCCATAATTTCTCTATGTGTCAAGCTTCACCCTTAATTTTTGTAATAATTTCTCTATGTTGAATTAACTTTTTAGCATATGTAGGATGCCAATCATAAGAGAGGTCTATTATTTCATTCATAAAAGTGTCTTAAGGTTTTTATAAATTTCAAATCTTGAAGATGAAGAACAAAGAAAAAACTTTGAAACTTTGCATTCCTCTTTATATAATCTAGGAGCTACTTTAACTATTAACCTCGCAATAGTGTCCTTAGTCAATGGAGTTGGAGTTAAAGTTTAAATCTTCTCTTAAAAGTAAACAACTCAAAATTATCCTTAACTTCTACTTGGACCCTCTTCATCATTGTTTTGCTTTAGAGACACATTGAATATAGCTTTTCTTATTTGATTTTATTCTATTTATGTATTTTATATTTTTTTATTATATATGATTTATCTTTCAAGCTAGATTCTAAATCAAAATACATCGCACGCATTTGCTTTTGCACATAATCACTTTGATAATATTTTTTTTTCTGTCATTCTTTCTTACTTAACCTTTATCTCAAGCTCATTGGGTTATTCTACCAACTCGTTATATAGGAGGCATAGGAGGCTAATAAACTCTATTTCGAAGGCTAAGATTTCTTACCTTTTCTTCTTTTTTATTGCTTTATTTTTTATGTACTTATACTTTTATTGTGTTAATATTTTTGGAGAATCAATATGAGTTACTGAACCAAGACCCCTTCTAACATTTTTCATTGAAGCCCCATAAACTAAGTTTGTATGAACTTATATGAACTAAGTTTGTAGATATCAAATTTCCAATCGATATGAGTTCTTAAGTTCATGATGTTGACCGATGCACCCAAATTAATTAGACTTTCTAATTCTATTTGTTTGATTGGTTTTACAAATATAAAAACCAAAACAAAAATTGAAGTCAAAATTGCAAAAATAATCAAATTGATATTTTAACAATCAAATCAAACAAATCAAATAAGATTGTGTTAGGAAATTAGTCTAATATAGTATATCATAAATTACAAAATTAGACCAATTGTGCTCAATTCATGTTGACTTGATTTCTAATAATATTAAGCCAATTTAAATTTCATTATAAATATTAAATATATTTTGAAATAAGAACATTTCATATGCTACATTTTTTATGTATCTTTTCGACATGGGCAAGAATTTTATAATCAACTTTGAGAACTCCACCATCAATGGTATCTTGAGGAGGAATATACTATGGTAGGAGCAAAGATTTAGGAATTTAAATGACTTTTTCCCCTTATCCTTAGGTGCCATTTTAGGTTGCAAGACCTTGCTACTGCAAAGATTAACCTCTATAATCTCCTAAGATGAAAAGAATGGAGTGACTTCTTATTATAACCCTTAAATTTTAAAAGAGCTATTTTGATATGTAATAGTTAAAAATTATATCATGAGTCATTATAAGTCTAACTCATAACTAGTTTTGCCACAACATAGATATTATTTTCATAATTTTGGGGCTTAACAGAAATATTCCTTAAGAAATTGGTACTTGTCGATACAAGGGGAGATTTTGGGATTATTGATGTCATTTTTGTAAATATATTTCACTTGAGTATTTTTGACATGCTTAGCCATTTAATCACCCATTCAGCTAACAGAGAGCATGAAAAAAGTATTAGAAGAATAAGAGAGAAAAAAGATAGAAGAGAGAAAGAAAAAAGCTCGATTTTGGGCTACTTTGAGTCACTTTTGTTCTTCGGCCCAGTTGGAAAACTTGTTCGCCTTGAGGTACGTAGATTACGCTATATTTATCTCAATTTTCAAAAATATGCAATTTTATTAAAATTTCAATTAAAATTTTATTTTTGTTACCAAAAATAGGGGTAACTTTACACCGGAAAATTTTTTATAATATAACTTTTTATATATTATAGGGATTGAGATTATGAATATTTTGAATATTTTCTAGAAATTTTTTATCATGTATTTTAGAAATTGGGCAGTTTGTATCATCTGGACACTAAAAAATAGTGCTGTAATATAATGAATGTCTTGAAGCAGTGTTTTACATGATCCCTGATAATTTGATTATTAGTTTGATTTTTGTCGCCTACTTTTATTAAAAATTGTGTAATTCTAACACATGTGCAATTATACTTTAATTATTACAATGTGATGATATATATCCATATATTATTAAATTATATTTGTTGGGAGAGATAAGGAGCTATAATCCTTTGAGATTATTTATGTGTTAGGGAATATTATGATGCCTATAAGGCATATTTTGGTGCTATAAGCACAAAAAGAGTCATAAGTGACCAGAATCTTTTGAGATTTTATCTGGGTCCAAGTAATGTGATATGATCTGCTTTATGATATGAATTATAAATTATTTATATGTTCAATATTATTATTTAAATAATTGGATAACTGTCATGCTCTTATTACATTTCTTAATATTGTAATTTATGACACTATATCTAAGTATTTTTAAAAATTCAGTAAAATATTTAATAAAAGAATTTAAAATTTTAGATTAATTTGTGTGGCATGCTGAGCTATTATATCTCACTATAATTTTGCTTCTAGTTTTTAGGATATTGGAAGGGTAAGGAGGTTGTTGATTAGTAGTTAAAGATCATATCTATGTTTATAGTTATTTCTCTCTTAATTTTGTTATAGTCATGGATAGTATATTATTCAGCTTTATAGCTTCTTTATGTAGTCATGTACTATAGTATAAATAAATTTTGATGAAAGAAAAGAAAACTTATGGATGCATGAGTTTATTTTTAGTATATAGATGTTTTAGTAGCTATGTTGTATGTATTTTATTTCAAATGAATAAAACAACAACAACCACATCAAGCCTTTATCCCACCACGTAGGGTCGGCTACATGAATCCTTTTTCTCCATTATATCCTATTAAAAGTCAAATTCTTGTTTAAATCTAATAGAGAAAGATCATTTCTAATATTTTCTAACCAAGTTTTTTTAGGTCTGCCTCTACCTTTCTTAACATAAGTCATCTAATACCTCTATTTTCCTAACCGGGTCATCGGAAGGCTGCCGTTTTATGTGACTAAACCATCTAAGGCGGCCCTCTCTAATTTTATCTTCTACTGAAGCTACTCCAACCTTTTCACGTATATGCTCATTTCGTATCATATCTCTAAGAGTAAAGCCACTCATCCATTTTATTTCAAATGAATATTGAAAGAAAATATAAAATATTTTGAAGCTAGTTATTGGGATTTACCTATCATAGCTCAATATGATATGAGCTATTCTGATCGAGTTGTGTTGTGACACTTCTACCTTAGCCTTAGTAGTACCTAATTTATCATCTAATGAACTATTAGAATGTGACGCATAATTATAGTACTACAATTAATATTTAATAGTACCCAATTATGTTTAATTCATTTTAACATAATTACATTACTACATTAATATTTACAACATTATTAAATTCTAAAGTCCAAAATAATATTACAATAGCCAAAACAGGCTACAAAGAATATATATAAAATCGAAGAGCTAGAAATAAATTAAACTATAATCATTGCCTAAACTAACTCTAAAGTCTCCTTACCTTTATCTAAAATCAAATAAAAATCATGTAATAAGCATATAGCCTAGCAAGTAATCACAACTTATCACTGCCTTCAATGTAAGATAAAAGAATTAGTATACATGCTCCAATTCCAGTCAATATCAATCAACAATCAATAATTTATCAATATAAGTAACAAGCAATATATAAAATTAGTATCAATCAATAATAAAATAAATACAATCAGTAAAGCAAAAATATGTTTATCAACTATAAGAAAAATTGGTAAAATAAATTATTAATCAATGTGT